TCACTCCTGTAATCCCAACACTTTGGGAGACCGAGGAGAGAGGAACACTTGAAGTCAGAAATTCGAGACCAGCTTGGCCAACATGGCAAAACCCCATCTCTACTAGAAACACAAAAATTAGCCAGGCATGGTGGTGAGTATCTGTAAGCCCAGCTACTTGGGAGGCTGGGGCAGAAGAATCACTGGAACCTGGGAGGCAGAGGTTGCAGTTAGCTGGGATGGTGCCCTGCACTCCAGCCTGGGCGACAGGTTGAGACTTCATGTCAAAAAAAAAAAGCAACTCTTCCCAAAATCATATACATATTCCAAGCATTCTCAGTCAAAATCTGGGAATGCATTTTTCTTTTTTTTATTATTATTTTTTAGAGATGGGGTGTCACTCTGTGGCCCAGGCTGGAGTGCAAGCGGCATGATCACGGCTGACTGAAGCCTCAGACTCCTGGGCTCAAGCAATCCTCCCACCTCAGCCTCCTGAGTAGCTGGGATACAGGTGTGCACCACCACACTTGGATAATTTTATTTTACTTTTTTTTACAAAGTGAGTCTTGCTATGTTGCCGACGCTGGTCTCAAACTCCTGGCCTCAAGTGATCCTCCTGCCTCAACTTCCCAAAGTGCTAGGGTTACCAGTGTGAGCCACTGCATCTAGCCTGGGCATGCATTTTTCTACAAACTGACAAACTCATCCTGAAATTCAGATGGAAATGCAAAGAACCTGCAACAAATAAAACAACTTTAAGAATGAGAAAGGTTGGGAAGCTTACAACACAGACTTTATTACATAATATAAAGTTGTAATGATCAAGACTGTGTGGTACTCACATAGAAATCAATGGAAGAGAAATAATGTCCCAGAAACAGACTTATACATCTACAGTCAATTAATTTTAGACAAACTAATTCTATAGATAAAAGAGTCTTTCCAACAAATGATGCTGGAACAACTGTATACCCATATGAGAGCGATGTGGATGACCTCAAGCCTCCATGCCATACATAAAAATTAACAGAAAATGGATAAAAGGCCTGAAACTATAAAGTCTCTACAGGAAAACATAAAGAACATCTTCACAACCTTGCGGTAGGTAAAAGTTCCTTACATAGGACACAAAAAAAGCAAAAATAATAAAATATTAATATGACTTCATCAAAATGTAAAATTTCAGTTCTTCAAAAGACATTCAGTTTAAAAAGGCAAGCCACTGTCAGGAAGAAACTATTTGAAATATGTGTATCTGACAAAAGAAAATATATTCAGAAAACATAAAGAACTCCTGCAACTCAGTAAGACAAACAAAAAGCGGACAAAAATTTTAGATAGACATTTTATAAAGAAGATACATGAATGATTAATAAGCACAAGAAAAAAATGCTCAAAATCATTACTCAATGTGAAATACAAATTGACATTGCAATGAGATACATCTACACACCCCTAAGAATAGCTACAATTTAAAGGACTGACAATACTAAATACAATTTAAAAGGCTGGCAAAGATGAGGAGAAATTGGGACACACATATACTGCTGGAGGGAAAATAAAGTGGTCAAGCACTGTGGAAAACAGTTTGGCAGTTTCTACTTACCATACCACACAGCAATTCCATTTCCTGTTATCAGCCCAAAAGAAATGAAAATCTATGTACACAGAAAGACACAGGAGCTTTAACCACACTAACCAAAAACAGAAACAACTCAAATTTCCAACAGATCTAATAAATTATGGTACATCCATACAAAGGAATAACATTCAGCAATAAAAAGATTAACAAATGACATACAACATGGATGGATCTCAAAAGCATTGTTACACGAAGAAAGCTTTTACATAAAAGAAGCGTATGATTCCAGTTACTGTATATCTAATCTACAATGACAGAAAGCACATCAGTGGTTGCCTGAGGCTGAGGGTGGGAAAGATTAGCTGCAAGGACACGATGGAACTTTTAAGAGTGAGGAATCTTAATTTTGGTGGTGGTTATTCATGTGTATAAATTTGTCAAAGCTCATCAAAATGTACTATTAAATGGGTGCATTTTACTGTATGCTAACTACCTCAATAAAGTTGATTTCGAAAAGAACTCTGAACGTAGACTCCAAAGTTTCACATGCTCGGGGACCTACTTGCCTTTCATCATCAACTATTGTGCTTCCCAGTCTTTCCGGTTGTCTGGGCATTTATGCTTGGTGTTTCCCACTTACACCTAATTAATGTCTACTCCCGTTAGACCTCGGGTCAAGGTGAGAGGTGAGGCCGGCTGGGCTTCTGGGTCCAGTGGGAAGTTGGAGAACTTTTCTGTCTAGCTAAAGGAGTGTAAATGCACCAATCAGCAATCTGTGTCTGGCTGAAGGTTTGTGAACGCACCAATCAGCACTCCGTAAAAACGCATCAATCAGCGCTCTGTCTAGCTAAAGGTTTGTAAACACACCAATCAGCACTCTGTAAAAACATACCAATCAGTGCTCTGTGTCTAGCTAAAGGCTTGTAAATGCACCAATCAGCACTCTGTAAAAACGGACCAATCAGCACTCCGTAAAATGGACCAATCAGCAGGATGTGGGCAGGGACAAATAAGAGAATAAAAGATGGCCACTCCAGCCAGCAGCGGCAACCCGCTCAGGTACCCTTCCACGCAGTAGGCGCTTTGTTCTTTTGCTCTTTGCAATAAGTCTTGCTGCTGCTCACTCTTTGGGTTCACACTACCTTTATGAGCTGTAACATTCACTGTGAAGGTCTGCAGCTTCACTCCTGAAGCCAGCCAGACCACAAACCCACAAGGCGGTACAAACAACTCCAGATGCGCCACCTTTAAGAGCTGTAACACTCACTGCAGAGCTCTGCGGCTTCACTCCTGAAGTAAGCGATACCACGAACCCACCGGAAGGAACAAACTCCAGACACATCTGAATATCTGAAGGAACAAACTCCGGACACACCATTTTTAAGAACTGTAACACTCACCGCAAGGGTCCGCAGCTTCATTCTTGAAGTCAGCGAGACCAAGAACTCACCAGAAGGAACAAATTCTGGGCACAAAAGGATTTTCTCTAGTTTACTTTCCCAGCTTCTAGTTTCTGTCCTCTTGTTAAGTGCTCTCCTTGCTCCCAGTAAATGGACAATGAATGAAATGAAATGCCATTTGGCCCTGAGAGGACACTAAACAGGAACAAAGCAGACTTTCATACATCCCCACTGCCCACACATAAAGTCCTGCTATATTTAAGAGAAGAAAGCTGCCAAGAAAAAACAGTTTGGGAACAGGGCATCTCATCTACTTTGGTGTTGCCCCGAGGAGTCTGGTCTAATCCTGTCTGGGTACAGGACAAGTTCTGGTTTCATTCAGTAAGTCCAACACTCTCAGAATGAAAGAAAAAGTTCTAGGTGTCTAAATCACTTAGAACTGAAATCAATGCATTCTCTCTATTTCTTTAAAGTAGTAATGGCCTAGACCCAGATTTTCAAAGGTTACTTTGAATTGCATTAGGTAATCACCTAATTCATTCTTTCTACTGATGTTGTATAGTGTAGACCAACATCTCCAGATTACCATCAACCACCCCAAACCAACCCACTCTTTGGAGTTGTAGAAAGATGCTAGTATGGCCTTACAGCAGCATACTCTGGTTTAAGGTAAGGAGTTGTAGTCTCAGGTCTTGCAATAATTACATGAATTTTAACAATTACTTTAACTTCTCTCTCTCTCTCTCTCTCTCTCTGGAGACAGACAGACAGTCAAAAGTACTAGAACTGGGAAAAACCTAACTTTTTCTCAGATCTCTAGGAAGTGTAATTTACATTATAATGTATAATTTATCATCATTAGAAGAATGACAACTTTCTATACAGTTCCAGCTCCTTTATTCACGATTATGCAACTATGAATAATTCTTTGGCTCAAAATGAAGAATTATTGGATAGTCATAACAACTAAGCTATTTTTTTGCAAAAGGAAGGACAGAAGGATGGGGAGGAAGGAAGACAGAGAAAAAAAATCTTATAATAAAATATTAAAAGATGCTTAGGAGACTGAAGTTTGAATATTGCTCATATAACCTTCATTACAATATGCTATAAAAGCAGTTCACACAGTAATAAAAACTGAGTCAAATAACAGCCATAATAATTTTATGAAAGATTTTTTTAAAACCACAAGAATTTCCAAGTACATAGTATACGAAGCCAAAATGATCCATGGCAAGTTTTTAAAATATGAAAATGGGTAAGAGGCTTCTATATTTGTTCCCTGTGCTGGTGCCTGCTTTTATCACACAGCAGTTCACATATTATAGTATATGAAGCAGCAAGCATTTTAAAACTTGGGAGAACGGAAGTTACTAACAAAAACAGCATATAAAAGATGTTCATTATTGTAACAGAGCATTTTTATCCTGATTTTTTAAAAACTCACAATTAGCATTCAAGCTAGTTTTCATTATTATCTGCTTCCTTCGCTATAATACAAAAATTACATATTTTATCTACTAACACTGCCTAATTTGAGATCATAGAAACGATAATTTTGTTCATTTAATATTAAAATAATTTTATAACCTCACTACTGAGTCAAACAAGATGTTCAGATAATATTGTCTATCTAATATTACAGGTAGAAATAACTATAGAAATTAGGTATTTCTTGGAAACATTTTCATTAAAATTTTATAAGCATATGATATTTCTGTGCACTGCCTTTTTGGCATTAAGTAATTGTTTATAAAGGGTAGATAAGTTGTTTTATATACAGAGTCAATATTTCTGTTAAGAAGGTTCATACATTACAGGTTTCTAGGGGAAAGTATATAATTATTAAACTAGCTGGGGTTTTTTAGCTAGTATTACCTAGATGTGAATTTTTCAAACACTCTGTTGGTTGACTTCAAATATCATTTGATTTATTTGAGGAATTGTATTGTTTTGCAACTTCAGGAATTATCTTGGCATTAAAAAAGTGTGGAAAGAAAAACGTATGTTACTATATGAAGAGAAAAAAAAGGTCCTACCTGTTTCAATCTCATGAAGAAAGTCTCTGTGAAAGTCTTTCTGCTGAAATACCAAAATCGCTCATTTGCAGGGTACACACGGACTACTGTCTCCAGGAGAAAGCGAACAGGCTCCACCACCTCTGTGACTACCATATCCACTGCCACAGTCATGTATACTCGCTTATCTGTAGTAGAAAGTTTCTGGGTTTTATGCTAGCTCTAGTATTCCTTGACTATTTTAAATAAAGTTTCCTCACTTATGAAAGAATTAATGTTCTTTACAATTGTAATACCTTCTATGTTTATTTTTAAATGTTCTATTAACATTTTGATTAAATAAGTATGCAAGTATTCCAAGCATGTTTCTTAGGAACTAATAATCCTAAGTGTCTATTAATAAATTACCTGACACTTTTTCTTTTTTCATTCCCCAAATTAGGTCTTTAATATAAAAATAAATAGAATACAATAATAAAGCATATCTTTTACTCTAAAACTATCTGATTTCCCAGAGAACCTCTAGAAAATCAGAGATTTATCCCTTCATCTTATAAAAAAAGATAATAGAAATTACTAGGTTTGTTTAATGAGTTGCACTGGAAGGACTGTCAAATCAAGAGACACACTCAGCCTTCTCTATGTTAAACTTGTATACATAAAATGTGATTGAAAGCTGGGCGCAATGGTTTACAACTGTAAAAAACTTTGGGAAGCCAAAGCAGGCAGATTACTTGAGTCCAGGAGTTTGAGACCAGCCTGGGCAACATGGTGAAGCCCCATCTCTACTAAAAATACAAAAAATTAGCTGGGCATGTTTGTGCGCGCCTGTAGTCCCAGCTACTCAGGAAGCTGACGTGGGAGAATCACCTAAGCTCAGGAGGTTGAGGCTGTAGTGAGCCGTGATTGCACCACTGCACTCCAGTCTGGGCAACCAGAGTGAGACTCTGTCTCAAAAAGCACGTCACTGATATAAATACTTGCATGCTGTATGCTTCAAGAAAAGTCTCCAGAGATTTTTCAGTACCCTCATTGTTGTAATACATATTAACCCTCAGGAAAATCATTAATCAAAGTTCCAAAGAAATAGTCCTGTGTAGTTTTCATATATATATATACACACACACACACACACATGAATATATATGTGTGTGTGTATAAATATATATACACATATATCAGAGTCCTGACAAGTGCTTTTAGACAACGACGATATGTGTTATCAGCCAAAATTCTAGTTATGATTTGAAATGTTTACTAGGCCACGGTCTTCCTTTAATTTGAATCTCGAATCATCTAGGCCAGTGTCTGTAGGTTTTCTTCAGTTTCACTATGAGGAGTTGAAACATGAATTTCATTTTATTTTATTTTATTTACTCTGCTTGATATTCATTGAGGTTTTTGTTGTTTGTTTTGAGAGGAGTCTCACTCTGTCACCCAGGCTGGAGTACAATGGAGCGATCTTGGCTCACTGCAACCTCTGCCTCCAGGACTCACGCAATTCTCCTGCCTCAGCCTCTCAAGTAGCTGGGATTACAGGCGCCTGCCACAAGGCCCAGCTAATTTTCAAAATATTTTTGGTACAGACAGGGTTTCACCATGTTGGCCAGGCTGGTCTCAAACTCCTGACCTCAGATGATCCACCCCCCTCAGCCTCCCAAAGTGCTGAGATTACAAGCATGAGCCGCCACGCCTGGCCTCATTGAGGTTTTTGAATCTATGGCCTGGTCATTCCATACTATTTTGTAATTTCCTCATTCCTTTTTAAATATTTTTTAAAATTTATTTTCGCTACAATTTTTAGTTCTCTGTTAAAGGAAAGTCCAAATAACCAAGGCCACCATTAGAGGAAACCCTCAATAGTGTTTTTTAAATATTATATAACATTCAGATTCATCAGCTACTTCTCTATTTATATTAAATTCAATAACAATTTTATTACATTCTTACTAATTACAGTCTTACTAAATACACCTGCCAATTCAAGAGAAACTAAAATTTGTTAGACATTGTACTTGACCTGAAGGAACTTAGGGAAAAGAGTAAGAATAACACAAGACAGAATATAACACTCAACTGAATCTTAGTGCAGTGGAAAGATCCAAGACTTTTCATCTCTCAGGGCCTAAACGTCTTCCATAAATATCAAACTTTATTTGATCACAAATTTTCTGAGTAATGTGTAATTTCAAGGACATCATTTAGAAATTTTAAAAATCAGGGCAACATTTTTGTGTGGCATATGAGATAATTTTAAATTTAAAACGTATACTTTGGACCAGAATATTATTATAATATACTATCATATAGTTTATTTTAATAAATTATAAATAAATTTTCTTTTATTTGTGGACCAAATATATATTTTATTGCAAAATGAAACTAAACTAGGTGTTACATTAAAAACACAAAAACTATTTTTATAACTTGATATACAAAATTCTTCTATTTTGTTCTTCAAAACTGTCAACTGGCTTATTTTTATCATTTTCGTGGCTTCCTTCTGAACAGGTATAAGAAAGAAGGTTACAGGTATTTGCAAGCCTATCTCCAGAAATAACAAATTGTGGATCTAAAAATTATTTACTGCTAATAAATGAAAAGTTAAATTTTAAATAATCTTTTTTTTCTTTTTAGCCCTCATTTTTAGACAGCTTAATATATGATTAAATGCATGTGATTTATATAAATGGTGAATACTCTCTTTAAGGAAATGAAAGAATAATTATCATTTTAATGCCCTTCATAAACATATTATATTTTCGTATCAGTATTCACAAATGCTTCCTGTCATTAAGCAAAAGTCTACTGTGGGTATAAACTAAATAATACAAAATTAATGATAAAACAAACTGATCCATTATATTGCAAATATGAATTAATGGTTTAACGACAGTAAAGCAGGGTAGGAATGTAACTTACCAGGTAAAACTTTAAATTTAGTTTAAAAGTAGATGATGAAGGGGCAAAAAACATAGGAAATTAACAGCTATCTGGATGAAGTAGGAACGAAAAAACACAATGGAAAAATGAAAAAATGTGACTAACATTTATACATTCTGTTCAATACTAGACATGATAAATAATATGAAAATGTAAAAAACAAAGAAGAAACTATTTGCTACAACTGAAATATTTCATATATATTCTAGCATCCCAAAGGCCAAAAGACTGGAGCCAATAATTAATAAATGGAAAACTATAAGTAAACTATAATGCAAAAATAGTTAAAATAATAATTTTTAAATATTCAAAATTCCAAAATATTTCCTTTTCATCATTTTCTTTAATATTTCTCTATCACTAGTCTCCACAAATGAAACAACTCTATAGTGGTATATGAAAACCAAAGCCCAAATGCTTTCTCTATAATCTAATAAAATTAATTTAAGCCAGGTGCAGTGGCTCACATCTATAATCCCAGTGCTTTGGGAGGCAAGAAGATCAGTTGAGGCCAAAGGTTCAAGACAAGCCTGGGCAACAAAGCATGACAAAAATAAAATTTTAAAATTAGCCATGCATGGCAGCACACATCTGTAGTTCTATTTAATAGCTACTAAGGAGGCTGAGGTGGGAGGATTGCTTGAGCATGAGAGTTTGAGGTTACAGTGAGCTATAATGCCCCTATACTCTACCCTGGGCAACAGAGTGAGATCTTGTCTCTTAAAATAATAACAATAATAATCATTCACATATCTTTTGGGGAGGATTTTTTTAAATAGTGGAGATTTCCCCCATAGAAGCATAAAGAACAAAAATGAACCTCAAATTCTCAATAGAAAGAATATGTTCACTTTAAGTGAGTTCCACATTTTTAAAAAAACATGACAAAACAACATTGATCATAATATAAAATGTAAAGCAAACAAAAGGGATATTTTAAGAAAAGTCACCTTTTGGTGTTTCCTCATTAAGCGCCAGAAATATTGGTGCATTGGGGTTCCACATGCCAGTGATGACATAAGCTCTCCCATCATAGCTCTTTCCCATGGATTCCTATAAAAATTCAAACAGTAATTACTGATAAAAGATATCAAAAAAATCACTACTTTAAATTATATCTTACTTTAAGCAATACAATGTATTAACATTTGGATTTACAGTCAAGCAGGAGCTTTATATCCACTGTAAATTCTTTTCATCCTACAAAGGCATTTATTTAAATATTAAATTCTTCTACAGCTTTCTTCAAGCATGGTTTCTACTTAAAGACAAGTACCCTTGGGTAAAAGGAGGCATACACTTACATGCTGAATCACAAAAACATAATATTGTTACAAAGTTATATTTAACTTGATCTTGATGCCAACTGTCCAAATCTCATATACATATAGGATGTATATGGTTTCTATTAAAACAATAATATAGAATTAGCTGAAGACAGTCAAACTGAACTAGTAGCTAATCACAGTAGGGAAAGTTATTTTTCTTCTAATATTCTAATTTTTAATGAATTCTTAAAATACTAATTTTGTTTATGGCCATTAATACCTTTAAAATTAACACTTTTCTATTTTCTGTATGTCAGGTATTTGTATACTTTCTTACAATCATAAATTAGTATTAGGAGACTAATTTTGGTTTGTAAGCAACATCCAAGTGTATTAACTCTCTCCCTCTACTGTTACACTTACTCCCTCTTTCTTCCCTTCTCTCCTTCCTCTTCTCCTCCATTCTTTAAGACTTTACTAAGCCAGCTCTTGACTCTCACTAAAAAAGCCAGCAACTCCTATAAGCAAGGCTACTTATAGCTTGTGGATATGTATGTGGAGAGAGGGGTAGATGTTGTTCCATGAAAGAACAACATACAGCATACAAGTATTTCCACATGCAAATGAACAGTATCTGCAATACTTCAATTTTTGTAGCAATTTCCTCACATTATGAATAGAGACTGTTAAAAGGGTACGACTAAAACAAAGAGAAAAACTTTCCTTTTTTCATTATTACCCATTCACAGATGTTTCTCTGAACCCCCTATAAAATTGTGTCAGTCATGTGGTAATTACTATGTATATTTTTCTAGTTTATTAGTAATACTTCACTAATCAGATTGTGTAGCTTGAGTGCAGGGACTATGCATTCCAGAGATGAAATACACTCAAGGTCATTTGTAAAGGAAACCCACTCACCAACACACTCATATGTTTACAGTCTCTTTCTCCACCACCTCTACAGACACACACACACACACACACACACACACACACACACACACACAGGCATGTACACAGGCCCCCATCCTCCATCTCTACTCCCTAATTAAGGCTCCGTTTGGTACAGGAACAGGTTTCTGACCCAAAAAGAATTCAATCCATTTCAAGATCAGAACTTGTGCTGTGCTTGAGTGCTCAAAATCTCTTTCAATCAACAAAAACCAAAGAAAGTGGGCAGTCACCAGTGGAAGCTAAAAGGTTTTCATTAGGAGTCAGGCTATGATAGGCCACATATAAGACAAAGTTATAACAATTATGAAGTAGGGAAAAAATATATAAAGTACAACGTATTAGAAAACTGTTAAGTGGTAAGAGAAATGGAGAAAACAAACATTAAAAAAAAACCCTTAAAAATTATAAATTATACAGACAAAAAAACAAAAGCAGATACTGGGAGGCAGTAAGTGGGGGAGGGAGCAAGTGGAAGAGAAAATAGCAGAAATCATCGTACATGTAAAACTGTTTTATGAAACTTTTACTTTTGCTTTTTTGCACATACACCATACACATTATGAGTATGCTAGATTACAACATAAAATGTATTTGTAACTGTGGGTATAGCTACTGGTCTAGTGTTAATATATGGTTAATTGTAAAGATCCACAAACTTTCTGAGGAATCTCTAGGACTTTAATCTAAAATTTTAAATTATGCTCCAGTTCCAAGAAACCTGGTTCTACTGAGTTTTCTGCTTTTCTTGGTACCTTACTGTTAGGCTTTTCCCAGGAATCCAGGACTGTGAATCAAAAATTCTCATTTTTGGCTAGGTGCAGTGGCTCACACATGTAATTCCAGCATTTTGGGAGGCCAAGGCAGGCGGATCACCTGAGGTCAGGAGTTCGAGATCAGCCTGGCCAACATGGCAAAACCCTGTCTATACTAAAAATATAAAAATTAGCTGGATGTGGTGGCACACACCTGTAATCCCAGCTACTAGGGAGGATCAGGCAGGAGAATCACTTGAACCCAGGAGGCAGAGGTTGCAGTGAGCCGAGATTGTGCCACTGCACTCCAACCTGGGTGACAGAGCAAGTCTATCTCAAAAAAATTAAAAATAAAAAATAAAATTCTAATTTCCTTATTCCTACAAGTATCAATATTTCCTTATTCCTACAAGTATCAATATTCTCATTATTGGAAGAAAATGGAGTCTCTACTACTTGTACTCTCCCAAAAAAACTGTGTATGTACACACACACACACACACACACACACACACACACACACAGAGTCATCTGTTGCTTAATGATAGGGATACATTCTGAGGTATGTGTCATTAAGTGATTTCTTTGTGCAAATAGAATATACTGTACTTATAAAAACCTAGATGGTATAGGGGCTACACACCTAGCCTGTGGCTCCGAGGCTACAAACTTGTACAGCACGTTACTGTACCGAATACTACAGCAATTATAACAATACTATTTGTGTACCTAAACACAGAAAAGGTACAGTAAAAATACATTATAATCTGACAGAACGACCTTCAAAGTATGGCACATCATTCACGGAAATGTTCTTACTCTGCGTGTGACTGTTATATATAAGTAATCTGGCTATTTCACTGAAAAATATATCTTCATTTATAGGTAGGACTTTCCTTTCATGAGGATCACATGATATTTGGGAGTGTCATAGAAGGAGTAAAAGTATTAATATCTTGTTTTAGAGGGCAGAATTAAGACTAATTAGGCAAAGTTACAAGAACTATGATTTCAGGTGATTATAAAAAAATAACTTTGTAATAACCAGAACTGTCCCTTAGACTTTAACAGAAGGCAATGAGTTTCTTTTCATTAGAAGTAGTCTAGCTGAGGTTTAATGTCCACTATGAAGATTAACAATACTGGGTAATAACAAATCACAACTGCTAATCATTGCACATACAAGCCTCTCATTTGCCCAACTATTTATTGCAAATAAGCCCCTTCTCTGTCTGAGAGCATGAATGCTCACAATTCTTTTGATTTAGATATGGACTCGAAGGTGGGGAGGACTGTTCTGAAAGTTAGAGAGACACAGTGAAGAGGCCTCAGAAGTTTATACCAGTTCTGTAATTCTGTAATCTGAATTTAGGTTTTATGGACAAATCTCTGCAGTAATTCATCTTAGTCCTTTAAACTCTGAAAGACTATGATTAATTAAGACCTAGGATCTTAAAAGTTTTTAATACCTCAATCCTCCTAATCTACTTCCTCGTGGAATTTTCAGGGCTCCAAAATGCTAATGACTTGCCTTAGGTAAAACCACTTTCATTACTGATATGTGGTTTAAAAAAAAAAAAGAGGTAAGAGACATAGATCAGTATCTAATTTATGTTTTCATACTCAATTTAACTGGTTGTCCTTACCTGACCTATTCAGGCAGTGCTTCCTCTATATTTCTACAGCTCGTTGTACCACCAGATACTGAAAAGGTTTGTTTCCCACAAGACCATGAACCCACAGATGGTAAGAGCTATATTTTACTCACATGCATAACCTCAGCACTTCACACAACACTTAGCAGACAAACAGGTACCCAAAAGCCTGAATAAACCATTCCTGTACTGATATAAAATCAATATTGATATTACCATGAAATTACTCAAAAAAGTTGACCTAATTAGTAATGTTTAACTGATATTTGCAAAACACGCTGAAAAGATGAAAACGTATAGTGCTTACTATCACTAAATATAAGAATCTCAGTTCACTAAGAAACTTTACACTTACTCTAAGATGATTAGTTTCCTATAACATTTCTAAATCACAAATTAAATGTTTTCACGAATTGCAATATTAGAAGGTATTTCTATTTGAAAGTTAAAATAGCTTGCTACTTTTACACTAAATATCAACTGTTGAATATATATTAACCTTTAAGGACATTCCTTAAATAAATATTACTCCTAGAATAAACGTACTTTGCTAAAGACAGGTAATCAAGAAGAAATTTAGAAAGGGAAACACTTTAAAGAAAACAAAAGTATCCGTCACGAACTCAAATTAATAGCAGGGCATTAAAATAAATGAAAGGCACCATATTCACTCTGGAGATGCTTGTTATAATTATGTACTTGTTACTACAGGTTCAAAGAAAAAACATCTTTCTAAGAAGCCAAAAAAATAAATGGACATTGTCATAACACAATCCTTTTATTTGCTTTCAACTTGCATATGACTGTTTTGGTGGAAACTGTCCTGAATTCCTCTTTCACAATTTTAAGTATGTGTTTCCAAATTTAATTATTACTATCACACAGCTGCAAGAAATAATTTTGACAATATGACAAAATTTGTAAACAGAAAATACTTGTAAAATATAAAATAACTATCATCTATACTTGGTTAAGGTGCTTAAGATTATCATTACCATATCCAGTAAATGCATGTCACTGTTCTTCACGTTTCGACCTGGGCTTAATAACATTCCAAAACATCTGAAAATATTGGGGGAAAAAAGGAGAAATAAGGTATCAAGAATATATAGAAGCCCAGTGAGCAAAAAGCCTTTTTACAATAACTATACAATCTGAGCTCTGTATTTATAATAAGCTTTAGTTTTTTTCTAAGAACACTAGAAATAAGTATTTATGAAGATACACAATAAAATCACACAGAAATAAGTCATATAAATTTCCAGATCTTTATTTGCACGTAAAAGATTACCAATGATAAGAAACTGCCATAAAAGTGGCCATAAATCGTTCGTTGAAAGAAAATATGGTACAGAGAAACAAATTAGTTTCTAGGAAGATAAGAGATTTTATTTGCCTTAGACTTATTCCAAACATATAGGTCCATTAACCCAGTTAAACCAAAAAGGAGGTTTTTAAAAATAAGAAGATGACACTATGCTCTCTTTGCATCAAACCAGATTTAAAAGAAAGCAAACTATTACCCTGGCCCTCCACAGTCATGTTCACTAAGTAGCATGTTAATACTATATCCTCTGTTTTAAAAAAAAGTTATACAAATTTTATTACTAAATGTGCTATTAGTGAAGATATCATATCCAACATATTATTAATACACTGTTAACTATTTAATATTGTTCTGTGCTTCTTGATGTCAGAGAAGCTCTAGGAATCCCATCAACACTGCCACTTTATTTGTAAAGGATTTGCATAAGCTCTAAAATTCAGCTAAATTGAAGATTTTTATGTTTGTTAGCTACTATTAACTCCACTTTACATGTAAGCAAAGTGAAGTCCAGAGAAGTTAAGCAATTTACTCAAATTCATATTGCTATATTACAGGTCCCATAACTTGAGAAGCAATGTAATCTGTCCACAGGGTCCCTCTGCCAACAACGCATACCCACACACAAGAATGTTTTTATTGTAGCTTCCCAAAATTTTAAGATATGCTGTGTAATAATTTATAGAAAGGGTAAAAAATATAACTACATTAAACATAAGATTTTTTCAATTTCAAAGTAGTGGCAGCTAACCACTCAGCTGTGATTCTGATCCTTGTTGTTTTTTAAAGGTTTACTCTCCTAGTATCATGGCTAATGCTTACATGAGCAAGATCACTGGTCCTGTCCAAATGTAAGCTTAGTAAGGAGTAAATATATACTTCCTATAAGTGCTTGAGGATGACTTGCTCAAGGCTTCCTTCTGGCCCCCAAAAATGATCAGGTACATAGCAAAGCTAAAGTTGGTAAGCTCTGAAGATAACTTTTCAAATACAGTGAACAAAAAATATAATCTACAAGAGAAATAATTATACTCTAGTATTCATAATTTCAACTATATACTGCTATGATCTCTCTCCTATGAATTCTTGTAATAAACACTGTCTACACAAATTAAATGATAATTAATCATGCAATTCACTGTACTATTTCTTATACTACTGTCCTAAATTCTTGCTAAGGAAGAATAAAAATTTAATTCTTTTTTAGAAATAAAATTTGGTCCCTCTAAAAAGTCAGGTCAGTGAGAACAGATTTATCTCACACATCCTTACATACTTTGCTTCAGCTTGCATCTCTAATTTTTTTTGTTTTAAGAACAATGTTCTATATTATAGGCTTTAAATTACAAACCCATTATATAGTCACCATAATAAGTTAACAATTACCAAAGTATGTAAAGAAAAAATAAGTTCTCCCTTCTCTCAGCCTCCTTAGGAAACAATGCTAACAGTTTGGAATGTATACTCTCTTTCTTTCTGTTCTTTTTTAAAATTTAAAGGATTTTTTGTTTTTTAAGGCAGAAAAATATTTTTTTTAATTTTTATTTTTATAGGCATACAGATTACAAGTGTCGATTTCTTACATGTATACATTATGTAGTGTTAAAGTCTGTCTGGGCTTTTAGAGTACCCATCACCCAAAGACTGAACATTGTAACCAACAGGTAATCTTTTAACCTTCACCCCCCTCTCCCACCCTCCTACCTTTTGTAATCTCTAATGGCTATAATAAAAGTTAAAGTATAATGCCATTTTTTTCTCAAGCACTTCCAGGTGAATGATAAAACAGATGAAATCTCACATTTTCTTAGCATAATATTTCTATATTACATTGTACTGCAAAAGGAGCCTTAGAGGTTTGGATTTTTCTTAAGTAGCAATACTCATCATCTTATTTTGATAATCTTTAATGCACTAATCTTTTCCTGGCTTGTATTAAAAAAAAAAAAAAAGGCCTGCCACCAACCAGCATGACCTTAGAGAAAGCACCTAATCCCCTGGGACTCAGCTCCCTCTTCTAGCAAACAGGAAAAGTGTAATACATGAACTTTAAGCACTTAAATTACATAATTATTTTCTGTCAAGCTGTATTAGTCATTTTCAAAATTACACTTCATTAAAGCACATCAGGATTCCTATGGAGGCCAGCAAGATCTATTAAGAATAATGTGTCAGAAATTAGATAGATATTATTAGTAACACTAACACCTAATGGGAGTATTAAGTGTTTCACTGGGGAGTTCAAAGCATTCAACGGTCTCTTATTAACTCATAAGGTAAAAAGCAAACTGCTATCCCACCTATTTTCTAAAGGAGTTTACAGTATAGTGGGGGGAAAGTAAGTAAATAGGCAATTAGAATCTGATATTGTTAGTTCTAAAATACCTGTAAGTACACAATATTAACAAAGTATAGAAGAGACATCCAACATAATTTATAATAGAGTGAATAGCTAGCTGATTTCACTCAAAAACTGAAATCAACCTCCTGAGAATGAGCTGATGATGATGCTATTATATCAATTATTATCATAGTAGTGGATATTATTTATTGAATGTCTTAACTTTAAGCCAGGCTCTACTATACTGCTGCATTTAAATTTCAAAGCAACCTTCATATAACAAATGATAAAACTGATTTTCAAAAAGAATGGTTTTGCCCAAAGCCACATAGCTACTAAGTTACAGGACTGTGATTCATGCCCATGTCTATCACTACAAAACTATATGGTCTTTTACATTTCAGCCTGCCAAGGGCTATCAGTAAAAGACTATAAACTCCTTGAGTGACCCTGGGCAAATCACAAACCTCAAAGTCTCACTTTCCACATTTCTGAAGTACAAATACTTGCTTTCATGTTGATTACGTCAATGTAAACTTGACATGAAAAAACTCATGGTAAAAGTGCACTGTAAGCTATAAAGCGGTTGATAATTATAAGTCATTATTATAATTACCATTATCATTAAGAAGAGAAAGCTCTGCCTTTCATAGTAGTACTTAGTGTTTACTCAAAACAGAACTTTAAGCAGCTTTTAACACCAAGTTAACCACCAGAACAAATACCAAAAACTCCATATCACTAATACACTTTAGACTTAATTGCAGGAAAAAGTGAGAAAAACAGATGTATTAATGTCCTGCAATATGAAACTAATTTTTTAAAAACTTTTACCTTTAGCTTATCAAATCATTAGGAATTATATATATCTCCATGAAGATAAAAATGGAAGGTAGGGAAGGAGAGAGAGAGAGAGGACAAGAACACTGTCTCTTGCTGTACTTTTATTATTAAAAATGAAAAAGTGACAGTGCCTGTATGTTGTGCACATGTACCCTAGAACTTAAAGTATAATTTAAAAAACAAATATTAAAACTTAGATCATTACCCAACTAGTATAAATGTACTTGTATAAATCAAGGAGCAAAAATTGTATCTCACAAGAACTGAGAAACACTATTCTAGGAAGCATTGTTGCAGAGTAAGCAAGCAATAAACAGTTACTGTCAAAAAAAAAAAAAGAAAATTAAGGGGAAAACAGAACTGCAAATAAGAAAATCTATAATGTAATCATAGTTTTTCAAAACTTTATGCAAAACACTAAAACTAAATAATTTCATAAAAGTTGGAATCTCAGTCAGTCTCCCCAAAGGGGCTAAAGCAGAAAGATAATTGGGCAAATCTTCTATTGTGTCAATGAGACTGTTATTTCCCTTACTAAAAAGACTGAAGTAGAAAAAGATACACAGGCATTTGTCACTATGTACGGTGGTGTAGAACCATAAAAATAAACATATAAGCTAAAACTGTATATAAAATGATCATATTTTCAAAGGGAAAAATTATGATTCTTCAGTAACCCTTAAAAATTTTTGTCCAAACTTCAAAAACTCTCTTATTTTCAGTTATAAATGTACAGGACAATTGTTAAAAAGTAAAACTATTATTTATTTAGCACTTCGTTGTTTGAAGCACAAAAATTAAAGTATTTTAATTATTTGAAAAAAAACTTATCAAGAATATATTGAAGAGTGCTTGCTGCCTTCTCATACAATTTACAATACAAAGTATCTTTTCTATCTTGGCAAGTTGTCATATTCCTTTCTAAGTTTGGATTAGCTTCCAAACTTTATCCTTTGCATATTCAGTGTTGTGAAATAGCTCCGAGAGTTCCTTTAATGTGAAAAATTCGCCAGAGTCATTTCCCCTGGAACATTCATCCTTTTCATCACAACCACTTTCCTTATGTACGCTGATAAGTTCATCTTCACAAAGCTCCTCTGGCTGCATATGTAGAGTCCACTGAATAGCAACAGTGGCAGCACTCCCGCAGACAGCTATTTCTCCTACATCTCCATACATGTCCTATTCAGATCCCGCAAACGTACTTCTATAGCGAAGTAAAAGTTTTGCTATACTACAGACATAATATTCATTGTTGCTCCCTGAAATGATGCCTTCAACTGCATGCTTTATGTCATATTTCTCCCAAAATTGAGATAAAGAAATTGCATAATTTCCAGTCTCTTTATAATTACTATTTCCTTTTGATGTGGCATCTAACTTCAATATTTTGGCTGACATGCTAGCAAAACTGATTGGAATTTTTGTGTATTAGTCTTCAATCCAAAGCAGAAGTATATGCTCCAGTTAAACCATAAGCAGCTTTCTGTTCCTAGTGAAACTTAAACTAAACGATGTTGGAGTGATTTTATTATTTTTTTAAATTCATCATAC